GCCATAACTTGCTGACAAAGTCCCTGATGACCCTACAAGGTCGAAAAGCTGTGATTATAGCATTTAAATGATTCATATAGTATTAATTATTAATTATTTTACTTCTCTACTGATATACCCGAAAGTAAACAATGCTGCGTTTTGAAAATCAGTCATTTCAATGCATTGAGAACATCTCTGAGCTGGATAACAGCTCTAGTAAATTCTACTACGTGTGAATTATCATGAAACCCATAAAGATGACATTAATGTGACTCTCAGCATCTGTCCTGCTGCCAATGCAAGAGTCGTTTGAAGTTTATTAAATCCAACCGTACTGACACCTCAACGGGCCGTGGATGAGAGGAGTTGTCTTCGGAGCCTGATGATACGTTGTCTGTTTTGGAAACGGCGTAAACTGTTTCGCGGCATGAGTGTCGAAAAAATTTTTCTCATAACCGGTTCGCTGGCTTTCATTTAAAAGTCGTCCTAAATGTGCACAAATTTGCCTTTTTTGAGTTACGCTGGACTGTTTCTCAAATAGGAGTTCGTTCAGCTGAGAAGAAGCCGAATTTTCATCGACATGCTGATTTGCTGTTACTTTACACCGAATCTGCATAAGGAGGAAGCGAGCCGTTCGAAGTGTGTAGAAAAGTTAACTGTGAAATGGTTTCGAACTCATGTCGTCTCACGAATACAGAACTCACCCTAAAAAGTGCGTTAGTAGAGTCTAGCGTAAGTGCGACGGCCTAAGCGGCCTTGGAAGCATTATCTATGGGTTCTGATGCAGCACGTCGTTTAGTCGTCACATCGCCTTGTCACTTTTAAGCCTTGCATAGACCCTTGTTAGATTCTGGCGTGGCAACGGTGGTAGCCTAGCGGCACTTTGTGCCATTAGTCAATCAACACAGAAGCTACGGTTTTCTGTACGACAGTTAAAAGTCTTGCACCTTCACAGTGATTGGTGGTGGCTGACGCGCCGCCTTCGTGTCCTTGGCTGCGCGGAACGCCAGGTCGAATCGTCTACGAGTTCCTTTTACTTAGTGACATGTACAGCAAAATTTCTGTAAATATGTATACAGAGGTGCTCAAAGTAGCGAATTTACGAATTTGGCTTCAGATTTAAACAAAATTCATCAAATCTGTTTACATATTTAATTAGGTTACATTTTCCGATCATTAAAGATACTTTGTCCTATATTTATATTGTAACCGCGAGTGCATAACATTATTTCAAAATGAAGTTCACGACAAAAATGTAAGTTGTAAAAATTTTAAATTAAAGAATTGTCATTTCAATGGCCTAGACATAGGAAGCAGGCACATAGTAGTTTAGTAGTCTATATCATAACTGTTGACGTTTCAAAAAAAAATCCTTTGACCGTTTTCTGGCCAAACGGTGTTATGTTGTGAACCGTGCTACCACATCATGTTGCTTCTCATGTTTGAAAGGAATAGACAAGTGTGCAGAAACTCTTTGAGAGCTTTGCTTTTGAGAGCCGAGACCCTTCAATATTGTTTCCTTGATTAACATTTTAATGAAAATTAATTTTAACCCTTTTAACAGTGCTATATACAGACAGAAATCTACAAGAGCTACTATGAGACATCAGCATTCAAGGGTTGCCATTTATTTTAATTCTCTGCTTTGTTTTCGTTATAAAGGCGAAATTTTTTTCACACAGAACAGACGCTAAACTTTATCAGATTATTTCAATTTGCACGATATCAACAACCACCCTATATTCTCCTCTGAACAAGAGCAGATTGACGCTTCGCCTTTCTGCACGTTCTTATGTGGCGTAAGCGTCACGGTTCCATTACCTTATTGGTCTATTGAAGTGAAAACATTCGAATAGGTATTTAGATCCGGTTTCGAACATCTTCAACTCACATTTTGTAAACAATGAAATGCATGCGATTTAGAGCTCAAAAATACGGCGTTATTAACCATCTTCTTTCGGACCAGATCAAAGACCTTTGTATCACCTCTTAGTAAAAAAGATATCCAGGCAGAATTAATTAATTCACTTATAATTATTTCTGACTCCGGTCGAATCCTCGCCACTGACTGTACTAATCCAATTACCATTCTGCATATTTCCTATTCATATGAAAAAAATTCAGAAATTTTAAAAGAACTTTTGTAATATTGCGTTTTTCCCAGAGCGCACATATTGAGATCACTGTTGCACAAAAAC